CTGTAGCTGCGGTCACCAAGTGGGCACACCCACATGGCACCCGACGATACATAAGTGGGTTTTGGGTTGCAGTTTGGGCACTCAGTCTCTAAAAGGTTTGCCATCACTGATATATAGGAAATGGCAGTATTGTTCAGAGTTCTTTCCATTCTGGAGCAACTTTTTTTTTCCAAATTTGCCCTATTTTTGACACAAATAATAGATTTTATGTTTTGGAGATTACACATTACTATAGGAACATAACATCAAGAAATGTTTCCTTGCTATTTTAGATAAGCTTTAATTTAAAATTATTCTTTTGTTACCCAAATGGATGTATTTCTTTGCACTTGCCAAAACAATGACTAAAAATAATTAAAAGTGATAATGTGTATCTGATGAAATGAAACAATTTGTGTCTTTTATTGTAAAATAGACATTCTATGGAACATTCTATTTGTACGGTGAATTCTGCTGCATTTCTATTGGAATATTTCATCTTGGCAAAATATACCTTTATCTACAAAATGTTGATAGAGATTATTATTGTAGTCATATTAATGGTTCTATCATATATAATGGTGCTAATTATACACCCATTTCAGAAAGTTTAACTACTCATGCTTTTTGCTACAGGGCTTATAATGTTGGCTCTTACTGAAGTTCAAGATAGACACAATAGAAGTAGCTCTCAACTTACAACCATTCGTTTAGTGACCTAAATGACAAAGGCACTGAAAAAAATTTATGACCATCTTCCACACTTACAACCATTACAGCGTCACTGTGGCCATGTGATCATAATTCAGATGTTTTGCAACTAGCATGTATTTATGACAGTTGCAGTGTTCCAGGGTTATGTGATCATCTTTTTCATCCTTCTGACAAGCAAAGTCAATGGGGAAGCCAGATTCACTTAACAACTGTTGTTACTTAACAACTGCAGTAATTCACTTAGCAACTGTGGCAAGAAAAGTTGTAAAATGTGGTAAAATTCACCTAACTGTCTCATTTAGCAATGGAAATTTTGGGCTCAATTGTGGTCAAAAGTCGACAACTACCTGTATATAGTTGAAATGCAATGTTTTGGATTCAGTTCCAAAAGTGTGTTCAGAGCATGCATGAGTATAGCAACTCATGCAACTATTTGCAATTATTAAAACCCATCATCTTTTTTTTTCTGGGATCACAGGCAGCTGCATAGCACCTGCTTTAAAGAGGTGCTGCCAGATCCAATGCAATGCTTGTGCTCCAAAGTACCTTTTCCAAAATATTTTTGAAGCACTGTAAAGGTACTTCTCCAACTTATGACCGTAATTAGACCAGAACTTACATTGCTAAACAAGGTGGTTGTTAAATAAGTCATGACTGATTTTATGACTGTTTTTGCTACAATTGTTAAGTGAATCGTGATTGTTAAATAAATCCAGCTTTCTTCATTAATTTTGTTGGAAGCCAGTTGAGAAGGTTGCAAATGACAATCGTGTGACTCCAGGACGCTGCAGCCATCATAAATACATGTTGATTGCTAACTACCCAAATTGTGATCATGTTACTGGGGATGCTGCATGGTTCTAAGCATGAGGACCAGTGTTAAGTCCCTTCGTCAGTATTGTTAAATGATTAGTTATAGGTCAAGGACTACCAGCATAGTTCAACCTTACTACTGCTTCTGTAATTATAAATTAATCCTTTGATTTAATTTTCTTAGTATATAATTTGATGAGTTAAGTTTCTTCATGTACAATTCTGAAAACGAAATTGAGATTGTTATTACTTGCATGATTAAATCAGATACAGGTAGGTTTGTTTTTCTGTTTACCAAATCTATCTATAGAATATCATGAAGGGGAAGGGAATATCTAATGATAATATCTCAGAAATTGAATAAGTTCTTACTCAGCCTTCCATCCTTCCGGGGTAGGTAAAATGAGGACCCAGATTGTTGGGGGCAATGTAAATATATATATATACATTGCTTACTGGTGTACACCGCTTAGAGAGTGCTTGCACTTAAAGCGGTATATAAGTCTCATAAATAAATAAATAAATTCATGAAAACATGAACAGAATTTAAAGAATTGTGGTTTGGGCAATACTAATAGAGCTCTATGTATTTTGAGAATAATTAGGAAGAGGTCCTTTGGCATTCATGTGGGTTCAGCACATCTTTGATATTCATAAAAGCAGGCTATTTTCAGGCTTCTGTGTAACCCTTTCCAGTCTAGCTCACAGCCCCAATATTCCCTGTAAGCTTTCACCTTTAGTAAAATAATTTCTGAAACAGAAATTATTTCAAGAGTGTTCCCTGCCTTAGTAGTAAGGGGTAAAGTTGTTCTATGTTTTGCATTTGATTCTAAACAAAAAAATTTTTGGAGTCCAAAGACTGCACTTATCTTCAGCTTTTTAAAGTAGCTACATTGTTACCTGAGATCATATGGAGTTCATGAGCCCTAGTGGTGCAATGGTTAGCCAGCAGTACTGCAGGCTACTTCTGCTGACTCCCGGCTGCCAGCAGTTTGGCAGTTCGAGTCTCACCAGCTCAAGGTTGACTCAGCCTTCCATCATTCCAAGGTCAATAAAATGAGCACCCAGATTGTTGTGGGCAATATGCTGACTCTGTAAACTGCTTAGAGAGGGCTGCAAAAGCTCTGTGAAGTGGTATATAAGTCTAAGTGCTATTGCTATGATCATAAGGAAAGACATAGCTGCTTTGAAGAATTACAGACAAGAGCAACATAAATTTTCCTCATATTCTGAAGCACCATTTTCAAACAATTTTTGAAGCTTTGCACATCCTTAATATGTAAAGAGTTATACACTCGTGCTGTTAAACATTTACTTTCACTTAGCAACAAATACTTATTTTTTTTTATGCTAGGATGAATATGAAGAGTTGCTTCGTTATGCAGTAGTTACCCCTAAGTTTGAGCCAACTGGATTGCGACAATCAGATCACATGGAGGTTCATCAGATATCTGCAGGTAACATGTGAAACGAGCTTTTTTTTTTTTTAAAGCATAAAGGCTGGCTTATTTTATAAACAAAGGTGGAAGATCATCCATGCTGAAATTTGATAATTCATGGCAAAAAATAGGGTTTCTAGTTGAATACATTGATGACCTTTTTCATTTTGGTATGTGAACTATTTGGTATATAGTTTATATGTATGCTTTTGAGCTAGCCATTACCCTGAACTATCTATCCACTAGTGAAACTTGCAAAAATTATAGAATGTTATCTTAAACAAAATTAAGCCATGGGTTCATTTGATTCAGTCTCGTCTGTGATAATTGACTGAAGGTCTTCAGGATTTGGAAAGTCCAGAAGATTGGAATTTGATGTCTTGGTATTTATTCTGAGATATTTTTTATTTTACCATCCAACTATAGGTAGATTCTTTCCATAACTTAATTATGTTTTCCAATAGAAATATACTCAACAATTTCTATGATCCCTATACAGTTATTTGTAATTTTCCATTACTGTACAATTATTTATTTTCCATTACTAAGATGCTTTGTTAATTTATAGTAAAATTTACCTCAAAGAGGTCTTGTGGTATAGTTTGACATCTAGTGTATGTGCTGTATTTTTTACAAATATCCTAGATGAAGTATTGTTGGCTAAGCTAGATATAGAATTCTTCATATTGAATCACAGTGTGAATGTGACAGTTTACTTACATGAAAGATAGATATTTAATAACTTGCATAAATTGTTGGGTTTTAGCCAGCAAATCATTTTTGAGGCATTTCTAAAAGTATTAGTTCTATGAATGTCTACTTTTCTCAAATGTTAAATACTACTTTAATTCATCTAAAGACATTCAAAATATATTACCTCATTATAGTACTAATGTTTGTAGCAGCTTTTGTTTAAAATAACACCAGTTTTTAAATTAATTTTCCAAAGAATAGGCAACGTTAGAATGATTTTCAGTGTCAATACTGGCATAGAATCTAAGATTCAGTAGGGCTTAATAAAATGTTTGTTCCACATATATAGTTGTGTAACATTTGCTGTATACTTCAAATGGACATAATGCTTAACATCAGTTTGACCCAGCTGCATAATGGTAGCCCTGGACCCTGACTGGAATTCCAATTTCTGCTCTTGGTTCACAATTTAGATTTGCATAAAAAGAAAACTTATTTGTTTGTCCAGGTAATAAAAAATAAGCCTAAAGAAAAACTCTTCCTTCAAGGAACCTATCCTCTGTAAAAACATTTATTTGCTTGGTCATTCATTCATTTTGCAGATTTATACCGCTGCCCGTCTTAACTAACTCTAGGTGGTTGACAGAAATCTAGATAAAAACAAAAAAATGTGAAGCATCCCCAATTTAAAAATGATTGGACATCTCACAACTGGTGCCAGCATACCTGTCTGGAACTATGAAACTGCCTTTACCCACAGCTTTTTTGGCTGTTCTACTCTAAGTGCCATGTATATATATGTTATGAAAACAAGTATTGACTTGGCAATAATGTTGTTTCTGCCCATTAGTAAAATAGTAGGAAAGTGATTACATATGTCCATTTATAATTAAGTAATTATATAATTAAATCACAGTCTGCACCCAAAACAAGTCCTCTAATCTGGAGCTAAAAAGGAAAGCAAAGAATTGGTTATGACTGATTGTAGAGGTACAGTATGAAATTAGTCCATTAATCTACATACCTAATGGAAGCAAATGTTCTTCCCTGAACAAAGAGAATTCATGTCTAAATATACTATATATAGTATAAAAGGATTGTATTAAGTAGGAAGGAAAAGGACATAGCTGCCACAAATTTTGGCTTTATTATCAAGGCCAGCTCAAATTCTTAATCTTCCTTAGTCCTCCTTATACCTAAGTAGTTGCTTTTTCTTATATTATTGTGTATTATATTTTATCACATTTTCTGTTCAAGAAATTTAATTTTTTATACCATTTACCCCACCCAAGTAAAAGATGGGAAGTCTAGGACAGGGGTCCTCAACCCCTGGTCCATGGACTGGCACCAGGTCATGGCATACCAGCAACTGGGCCGTGCAAAGAAGTGAAGTCCCATCCGCTGGATGCAGACAGAACACGAAACCACGCCTCCTCTGGTCCGTAGAAAAATCTTTCTCCACAGAACCAGTCCCTGGTACCCAAAGGCTTGGGGGCCTCTGGTCTAGGACTACAAAAGACAGATGGCCCAAAGTTACCCTATAACTTTTCATGACTGAAACCTATCCTCTTCCAGACCTAGCTTGATATTTTGATTTCCACACAAACCTAGTTCCTAGATTGTACTAAATATTCCCAGTTTTTTCCCCTTTACATATTGAATCTGCAGACATTTCTAAATAAATCTCACCTTTATTTTGTGCTTAATATAAAAAATGATGAGTAAAATAGAAAGTTTTGCATTTTTTGAAAAGAACTCTTACAATTATGTCGTTAATAATGATGTTCCACATAACTACATATATAAAAAATATTAGAAATAGAGTGCTGACTGAGGAACTAGCATGGCTGTTGAAATGCAGCTTCTTAATAGTATATTGCAGAAACTGCTAAGATTCAAATAATGGGAAGATTCTAGAATTCTGAGTATTCTAAGAACAGTGTCAAGACGTCTTGACACTAATGAGAAAAACAGTATTTTTCAAGGCTAGCACCGATCAGCTTCATATTTAAACCCTAACCTATTATGATAAATTACTGCCAAAAAATTGTCTATTTCCTCTTCTCTGAAATCTTCTGGAGATGTAGCTGCAGAGTTGTCAAGTACTAGAGGTAACAATACTTCTCTGCTTTAATGGGGATGTTGAGGACTAATTACCATTCTCCTACGTGAGTCTAGCACAGTCTTTGTTGGTTAAATACTTGTCCAGACTTAAGACTTAAGTGTGGATGAAGGTGTCTAGCCTATGGTGAATGGAAGGCAGAAAGTCTTTGAAATAAAATGTGTGTTTTGAGAGGACCAACTATGGAAAATCATTATATTCTTCAGGTTTGCTACATGTGTTTGTTGTAGGTGTTTGGGGGTTATCTATTTTTGGAAATAATAGGCTTGAATGCAAAATAGCCTACCATAGAATATATTGACCAAATGTCTGTTGTTACATTCAGACATACAGGATGTTCTCTTATTGATTTGGTGTCTCTTACGTTTGTGAATGATTCTGGATTGCATTGTATTATCCATCAGTGTTAGGTTAGGTTCAAAGCCATATTCCTTATCATTCAAATGCCTGATAAAATGCCATTTGTGCTCCCACACAAATGTATGCTCAAGAAGGGCTTTAAGGATAGAAAGTGAGGAATGTAGACAGATTAAACGAAGAATGAAAGTAGAAAATGATAGTTTTGAAAAGATCCCAGCTAGGTAAATAGATTGCATTATAACCGATTATATTTTCAATTTTAGGAAGCCCTTACATCTCAGGGTGTTTTTACCTTTAAAAATGGTTTGGAAAATTGTGATGCCATCATGTTTTGCTGCCTGATTTTCTCTGGTACTTTTCATTTTATGAGGTAAATCATAGATTGTAGACCTTCTAGTTGATTGAGCACGTAGAGAAATTGATACCTGCAAAAATTTAAATTGAATAAAACAACAGTCTATGGATTAGATGCAGTACATTTTGAGAGGTGGCTGTACCGGTAGTTACTAATCAAAAACCTTCACTTTAATTTAGATTTAAGGATAATTATATTTAAAACAAGATGGGGGGAAATCAGAATAAAGTATACCATAATGTTAAATCTTGCATTTGAATGTTTTAGCACTTAGTTAACTAAATCTCAAAATTTGTGCTCCAGTAGCTGCAGTGGCACATGTGTGGCTGTTTTGTATTGTTTCTTACTAAGGTGATGATATTCCAGTAAGGAGGACTTGTGTTTGAGTGAATCTGTCCTAAAGCTTGACCTTTCTCTGAAGTACTTTATCAAACTTGTGATAGTGCTATTGTCTACAATTGGCACTTATTAAAATGGCTTTTTTAAAATTGCAAAATACTATTAGAAAGATTTTCCATTCAGGAAGGACCAGTTGATTTAGAGTAATCATGTGAGAAATGTCTCACATAATCGTGTATCCCCATTTCATATAAACTTGATAAGTAAAATAGGATACACTTTCTTCATGTAAATATTGCTGCGTGGTTGCAATTTTGCTACTTCTTGCTTCTATTCATGCCTGTATTTCACTCTCACTGCAAGTAATAAAAGTCTGTGTCTGTTTCCCTAGAATCGGATTCCTTTTATAGCTACCTTCTTTTCTCTTTTTTTGTACCTATTGATAGGTGGCATCATCCAGTTAGGTATTACCAATTGCTAGCACTAATATTAAAACAGAAGAATTCTGATCAACGGCGTGAACAGTGCAGAGCTGAGTATTTGGTTCTGCCTGTCTAAATATAGCCAGTCTTTTTTATCTGAAATAGGTAAGAGTCCAGGAATGAGTGACTACAGGCATGAAAGTGCAGGAATGAAATGGAGGTGCCATGGAAGAACCCCAGAACTTGCAACATCTAGTCGAACAACAAGAATAGAAGGTATAACTACTAGGACAAGAAAGAGGATAGCCTTAAAGGTTATGCTAGCTTAAGACAGACGTGTCATACACAAGGTCCGTGGGCTGAATCTGGCTGCCATGTGGTTCTGTCTGGCCCGGGGACCTGCTTTGGAAACAGCAAAGGACCGGCATGCTGCACCTTGGCCCAGCCCAGGCCGACCTGGTGCCAGCCATCAAAGCCAGAACGTGCTCAGCCTTAGATCCACAGGGAAGCCCTGGAACCAGCGATGGATGCCCTGCCCCCTGGGTGAACACACAAGTCTTGCTCCGCAGGCTGACTTCACCCAGGATGCCAGCGCTGGTCGTCTCCTGTGCACACACCCAGGAGGTGGGGCAGAGGCAGCGAGGGTGGCTCCTTGCTGGTTCCAGGGCCACCCCATGGATCTAAGGCTGAGGGCGTTCTGGCTTTGATAGATGCAACCAGGACGCAAGACAGGACTTTATCGACAATCCAAGTTCATTGGTATTCTTGAATTGTGAACTCTTAGGAAAGTATCCCCTCCTTGTGTGTTGCAAACAGCCATTTCCAGTGGGGAAAACAGGACAAAGAAGAGTGTGTGGGGAGGGGAAATATTTTCCTTTGCTATATTTCCAGTCTGAATTAGACCATGGCAGGATCCCCATAGGAGAGCTCTTTTAAGGATTATGTATTAATAGAAAAGCAACTAACTTATCCTTCCGGGGTAGGTAAAATGAGACCCAGATTGTTAGGGGCAATGTAAATATATATACATTGCTTACTGGTGTACACCGCTTAGAGAGTGCTTGCACTTAAAGCGGTATATAAGTCTCATAAATAAATAAATGCTAAAGCTGTTGCACATAAAAAACAGAGGAGCTCTAATCAACTATCACAGCTACCATTTTGACAGTTTTGCTGTACTGTTGTCTGTGGGTGCCCCCACTAAATGGAAGCATGGGATAAACAGCCTGGTTTCTTCTATTTTTTAAGTGGCCACAGACTACTAGCAAAAGTGGCATTTGATCACAAGGCAAGGAGGCATCGAGAAATGTTTTCCCTGTTGAATTTGAGCATCCATGAAGGGAAAGGAAAGGAGAAAGGGAAAGAGGAAAAACAAACAAAAAGAAGGAAAGAGGGGAAGAAAAAAGAAGGAAAGGGAGGGAAGAATGAAGATAGATTATAATGAGAAGGGTCTGAGGGAAGTCCTACCTTAGCACTGCTGCCCTTTCATTATCCCCTTGTCTCCTCCTCCTGACCTCTCCTGGTGGTCTCCCATCCTATCGCTGAGGATGCTTTGGTTACAAAGCTGGGTCTCCTCGCAGGGAGAGGGAGTGGGCCTCTCTCTGACCCAAACATTTTGCCCTCCCGCATACACCAGGAGCAACTTGGCCAATGAGAATGAGCCAATCAGCAGCAGCCTTGAGGAGGTAAGTGCAGCCGGCGCCCCCTTGGGAAACGCTGGACTGGGTGCTTGCCCTCCAATGCCCAGGGCTTCAGGCAGCTTGCATCACTGCGGGTCCTCTGCATGGTCTCTGGTGGACAAGGGTATAGTGTTCACCCTGGTGTCTCCTTCCTCTGCTCGAGACAATGGATCTCCCCCCAACCCCGCCCAGGCCACCACAGGCGCCGCCCAATATGAGCAACACTGAGGTGGCCACCCCAACGCCCACCCCCCAAGGTCAACCACAATCCTGATGCGGCCCTCAGTGAAATCGAGTTTGACACACCTGGCTTAAGATATAAGCCTAATCTGTGGTGATTTGGGGGGGGGGGTAACACATAAATCCCCATAGTTGTAACCTGCATGTATCCATATACACCTGAATTAATGTATGCCTCTTATACCATATTGTCTCACTTAAATCTACTATGGTCTTCAAGTGTATTTACTTGTAAATGTGTACAATTATTATCTAATTAAGTTACTAATTATATGGAATCCTTTTTTATTCAAAAAGCTTCTCTAATGAATATGAAGCTGCCACTACTTTTAAAAATAAGTACAATATTTTATTTTCTTCCCTTTTTGAAAGAAAGGAAAAGTAACAATAAAGAAGCTTATTATATGTATAGCTTTTCTATTCGATGACACACATTTAAGAACAGAATAACAAGAGTGGAAGGGACCTTGGAGGACTTCTAGTCCAACCCCTGCTCAGGCAGGAAACCCTATACCATTTCAGACAAATGGTTGTCCAATCTCTTCTTGAAAATCTCCAGTGTTGGAGCACCCACAACTTCTGGAGGCAAGTCATTCTACTGATTAATTGTTCTCTCAGGAAATTTCTCCTTAATTCTAGGTTGGTTTTGTCCTTGATTAGTTTCCATCCATTGCTTCTTGTCCTGCTTTCAGGTGCTTTGGAAAACAGGTTAACACCTTCTTTGTGGCAGCCCCTTAGATATTGATATTAGATAAATATACACATATTCCTATCGCTTCCTTTATGGCGGAATTTAAGAGACATTTCTTTTACCCAACACAAAACATATATTTAAAGAGAGAACATAACATAAAAATATGTGTATTTTTATAGAAACTGCCAGATGTTAAAATGTATTACTTATAAAAGAGATATTGTATTTAAAATAATTGAAGGTGTTCATGTTAAAGTCAGTTATAGCAAAAAGGTTATTTTTTTATCCCATTAAAGATTAGCAAATTTGTTGTAGCTTAAGTGAGTAAGAAGCCACAAGATAACATTGGGCTTTTGCAGGAGCATTGGGGGTTTTTTAGACACTTTTGTTTTCAGCTTATATTCTGTAAATCCAGCAAAATCTAATACAGTAATACAATATTTGAGACATAGTTGGTTTTCTGTTTTTTATAGTTTCAGCGTCAGTAAAGGAATCAGCTCATATGGATATGGAAGGACTTTGCCCAATCCGTTCAGACGAAACTTCGTCACCAGGGTCCTCATCTAGTCAAAGAGATCTTCAGGGGACATATGTAACTGACATGAGCCTTTCAGATGATAGAGTGACCCATATAGAGAGTATTCTTGATCTGTGGAGTGGCAGTCTTAAAGTAGGTAATTTTTGTACTGTATGTTAAATTCTGCTTTGGATAACCTGGTTCATTGTATCTTATTTTCCTCAGTCTTTGTTCTGGAATATTATACCGCCAAAGAAGTCTCCTTTGACTATGTGCGTATGCCATCATGCGTGTATTTAAAAATAAAATAAAAAAATCAAAGTTAATATAATTATGTTTAAATTTAAAGTTAGCCAAAAAAAAAGGATATGGGTATAAATATTGCTGAGATCTCATGACTGATCACAATCTGATTCTTTTAAAAAATAGCAAAAAATATATATAATTCAGACAATATAAGGTATAGAACAAAGAGAGAGAAGCAACATACCATTTTTCCATCCATTGCAGTTGTTGCAAATTGTTGATCTAAGCCAGTGGTTCTTAACCTTTTTGAACGAATCGCCCCCTTGAGCCAATGAGGAAGTTGTCATCGCCCCCCTCCCCCAACATAACCTCTCAGTCACAACATAGAAAATAATTCTTCAATTTATGTAAACACTTTTTTTGTTTTCTTTAAAATTGTCATCAGGACATATTGATGCAAATAATTTATTTCCAGTCTTTTTCCTATATCTCCCATATTCTGGCCAATGGCGTGCCACTGTATGGGTAGAGGCTGCTGCGCAACGCGCATGAAGATAAGCGATGCGTCTTCACATACTGTACTGTATGTATGGCGTTCTGTACTGAAGCTAGCTGGAGGAACATTTGAAAACAATTCAATCCACTAATAGCGAGCGATCTGATGTTTTTTACGACAGATATACAGCGATTCACTGTACGAAAAAGTCTCAAAAGTTTCCCCAAAACTTCTCGCTCCATCGCCCCCATATCTCTCCCTTTTCGTCCCTTTGCCCCCGCGTCACCCCTTTTCGTTCCATCACCCCCCTGAAAAATGAAATTGCCCCCTGGGGGGCAATATCGCCCAGGTTAAGAACCACTGATCTAAGCTGTTCTTAAGTGGTTTGGATGTCAGGTGGCTAAGAAGGCCCTAACCTTTCCTTGCTTCTTTTGGTATTCAAATAGTTTAAAATGCTTTCATTTTAAGTTACATTAAAGTAACTTAAAGTAATTTTATGCTTAGCAGTTACATATAGGACCTGAAACTCTACAGAACATAGCGTAACTTTAAATAAATATGTACAATATGTCCATACTTTAAACAGAAAATATCTTTCTTCTTTTTTTTTGAAACAAATTTTATTGTTTTTTTAATTCTTAGAACTTTGTTCTAAGAAAATATCTTTCTTCTAATAAATTAAATTTCACCTTGCTTTGATTTTGATATAGTAATGTGTAGAAACTATGAAATAGAGCCACCACCTTCATGTAAGTGGTTACTATTCCTACTATAAAGAAGTATTTTGTTAATTATTGGAACCTATCTTCCCATAATTTAAATTCATAACTTGTGCTCAGCACTCTGGAATAAAACAGAACATGTATTTACTTTCTTTTTCACGTGCTTCCTTTCAGATATTTAAAGATGCAGTTGTATTTCCCAACAATTGCTTTGTTTCAAGGCTAAACATACTAGGTCCTTCAATCTTTCTTCATAAAATATATTACCCTGATACAGCTACTCTGTACCTTCCCAATTTCTTTCTCTTTAAAAAGTGTAGTGCGTAGAACCAGACATAATACTTGAGGTGCGATATCATGAAGCCACAATGGAATAGAACTATTACTTCTCAATTATTATATTCAATTATGCTTCTGTTGATAAAATCAAAAAATTCACTCTTTGAGCATGATTTTTGGGCCAGAAATGTGCTTGTTAACTACATTTGAGCAGCTCATGTTAACTTAGCTTGCTAATTAGGTTATAGATAAATTGGGCAAATGCTTTGTTGAAATCAAGATATATTATGTCAGGCAGCATTCCTGCTATCTATTAACAAATACATCCCTAGCTCAATGCAGCTGTTGGTCATTCCAGAAATAAGACTGTTAGACAGACGCCTATCTTCTTGGAACTGACTTATTCGTACTGTGTGTGTGTGTGCATATTCATGTGCACACCTCTGAATCTGTTGAATCCTGGCAACTGCCTGGATAAGTTCCTAAGTTTTCTTGGTAAAATTTTAGAAATAGTTTGCCATTTCTTCCCTTCTCAGGCTGAGAGAGAGTGACTCGCCTAAGGTCACACAATTGGCTTTGTGCTTAAGGCAAGACTAAAACTCATAGTCTCCTTTTTTTAAGCTCATGCTTTAATCACTGTGCCAAACTGGCTCTCCATGTATATTTAGCTCCCTTGTAATAAAACTACTGCATTTCAAATGTTTGTCATATGTTTCTGATGCCTAAGTTCAAACTTATATTTAATTCAGAAGAGTAGTTACTTTCATTTAACTTTTGACAGAGATAGCTAGTGAAGGAATTTCCATCTCCGAGAAGCCATTCTTTAGGGACTGTTGCTAAAAAGTTTTAATTTTGGATGTCACTTTTGGTTTGTTCCTTTGTTCCAGAGAATAAAATAATTTTAATATCTTTGTTTTGCAGGTATTAGAAAAATGCCACTGAATGAGAATTAGAAATCTCCCCTCTACTGTATACCTAGGAAATGACAAGTTTTCAAATAGCACGGTTTTTTTGTACTAGAGTTTTTTTAAAAATGAAATAAACTCAACCTTTATAAGTGATATTTTCTTCCTTGAAAATAAATCCCAAAATACTTTATTAATTTATTGCTATATATAATGTTCCTATCCAAACTCTAATTGCATCTTGCTTAAAACAATTACTTCTATTTTTTAAAAAAGCATATTTTATTTAACCAATCAGATTTTTCAGGCTATTCTTTTTTTTAACTAAAGCAGCAAATAATTATGCAAAAGTATTATTTTCAAGATTGATGCTACCTAATTGTCATTCATCTGCTTTTGGGACCTAAATATGTTATTTTAATAATTTCCTCACAAACCAGTTGCCAGAGGGAGGCAAAATACTATATACTTTTTTTTGTTTCTTTCATATATCTTAGAATAGCATTGATAGTTAATATCTGTCATGGAAAGTTTCTCAAAATTTCAAGTGCAGCACTTTAAACAGTTTTATGTTTTACTATATAAACCATTTGTGTTCTTAGCCTTTAAAAGCTCAGACAGCCTTTAAAAACTCAGAGTGATCTTTATTTCTCTACTAAATAACTCCTTCACTTCTTTTAAGACTAATGTTTTGACTGAGTTGAGGAAATGGAAACTTCATTTTATTGAACATCATACCTTAGAGATGAGACAAGAAAGAGAAAAACACGCAGCTGATGTGAGACAATTGACTAATCAGATGGAGAACTTGAAGGAATTGCTACATACTTACGAGATTTCCATAGGGAGAAAGGATGAGGTAACAAGTTCTAATTTACAGGAGGAATTTTTACATGGTCCACATTTTCCTTATTGGTTACTGTTAAGAATTGCCTTTGCAGCAAATAATTGTTTGGAGAGCAATATTTCCCTGTTATATGTGCTTGATTTTAATGACCAAGTTCAAATGAATTAATTGCATAGTTAATGCTCTTTATGCATTTTCTAATTTCTTTTTGTTCAGGTAATTGCAAATCTAACACATGCAATTGAGAAACAAAAGGACAGGATAGAATTAATGAAAAAATTCACAAAATGGCGACTTCAGCATTTTTTGGGCAAACAAAAGGCCAGAGAAGAGGTATATATGAATTTGTTCATGTTAATCAAGATTTGTTTTTTAAAAAATCCATTTTAAAAACTGATCAAATTAACAGTTCTATGTGGAAACCTTCATCCTCTTTTCTATAAATAATCTGTCTCAGTAAACTGCATTTGCATTCGGTCTGAAAATGATATTTTGCACTTTAGGGTCATGTTATAGCTGTTTAGGATTATGTTACAATCATCCCATGAAATCATGAACATTAAAAAATGTTAAAACATTATTCATCCCATAAGATCTGAATGTTAACATGGCCAATGTGGATTCAAGCTTTTGTTTGATTTCATGCTGAAAGTTATGGTTTGTTTATAATTGTATTATAGTTTATACAGTATAAAAGTGCTTTACAGATACTGCAATATATCCTCTTCATCAATTCTGGTATGGTACAACTATAGCAGAGGTTAGAGTCTTGTTTTGGGAAGAATTAAATAAAGTGTAGTGAAACTCAGATCTGCCTTGGTGACATTCCTTTCCAGGTATACGCAAACAAACTGGCTGATCGGCTGTATAAATTAGGCTTATTGAAGAAAGCCTGGGCAATTTGGCGATCCCGCTTGAATGCAAAATGGAAAGAAACCATGGAAAAGGCTGTTCAGACAAGTTTGGAATCTATGCGTACTGCCCTCACCAATGACTATGAAGCCAAACTTCAAGCAGTAAGGAGTTTGGAATATTTGAGAATGTTTAGTGATATGATAGCTGGGGTGTTACCTAAATTAGACAAAAACTGGTTTTGACAATACTTCACTTTAGGAGAAAGGACCCATAGGATTTACTTCCAGGAAAATATAAATAGGATTATAGGCAAAGGTGACATTCTTGACAACATCCAGTACTTCGGCCATCGAATGTCTTTACCATTGTAGTCACACCATTTCTATAATATACATAGTGTCTCATCTTTTTTTAAACCATTGAATATTGTACCCTTCCCCTACAGCAGTCAAGAAAAAAAAATCTATTGTAATTCAGTCCTGATTCTATTTTTTTTATTTAAAGGAGCCAATTAACTGCAATTTCCCCTCAGCTCTATCTTTTATCAAATATGCTAAGTGGTTATCATTAATTAAATGTTTTTATTTCTTGGCTTAGGTAAATAGTGAATTAGAGGAGGCCAGATCTGAAATTATTGAACTGCAGAACCAAAGACAAGATTATGAAGATTCCATGAAGAAGGCTTTCATGCGAGGTGTCTGTGCACTGAATCTAGAGGCAATGAGCATGTTTCAGGGCAAAGATTTCAAACTTGACCAGGGTTAGTATTATGAGGGGAATGAAAGATTATTAGCATACTGGCCCTATGTCAATGAGTAATCTCAGCTGATTTCCCTAATATGTACTTCAGATGTGTTAGGACTACAGTGCCCAGAATTCCTCAGCCATTTGAAAAGGCTGAACTGATGTAATTTTTCAGAAGGTTTTCTGACCACAAAAATACAGTATTTTTATGGAGGATTAACAGTGTTGCCCTGGGGTTAAGAAGCCAATGAAGGAAATAGGGATATATAAGATATACTCTTAAGTTCCACTTTTGTGTTAGAAATAAATGGATTTTAAAATTTTTGCGGGGTATATCTAGAGAATTCTAACTTTCACAAATAATAATGAGAGACCAAATCAATACTTTCCCCTCTTCTTTTTAACTATTTTATCACCTTTAACTTCCTTGAAAGAAAAAAGTGTTTTCTTCTCAGTTTCTGAGGAATTAAATTCTTTTCAACTATATAGATTTTCTTTCATAGATTTATGGCAGTTTATTATGCAATCAGCATAATTCTAAATACATTCTGATTTTCTCCCTCAAGAACTGAACACTTGGCACACTGTGGCTTAGGGGATGCTTTTAGATTTTTTCTTTTCCTATTTTGACATGTGAAACCAGCCCCCACTTGGCCCAACAGCCAGACGCAGCATGGTACAAAAAAGTGTTTTGGTACACTGAGGCTCAGGGGCTGCTTTTAGCTTTTATTTTATTTTTTGCAGTGCGAAGTCAGCTTCAACCTGGCCCATCAGTTAGATCAAGCATATTTCGTCAGCAGCAAGAGCAAATAAACAGTGAAGGTCAGCTGGGCTGATGGAATGTAGGGCTAGAAGGTGTTAAAGTATAGGATGACAAAAAAACACATTGGTACACTGAGGCTTGGGCTGTTTTTAGCTTTTCTTTTATTTGTTTGCAGTGAGAAGTCAGCTTCAGCCTGGCCCATCAACCAGATCGAGCATGTTTCGTCAACAGCAGGAGCAAGTAGATGGTGAAGGTCAGCTGGGCTGATGGAACAGTGTTGCAGGGGTCTTGGAGTATAGGGTGGCAAAAAAGTGTTTTGATGCACTGAGGCTCATAGGCTGCTCTTAGCTTTTATTTTATTTTTTGCAGTGAGAAATCGGCTTCATTCTGGCCCATCAACCAGATCAAGTATGTTTCGTCAGCAGCAGGAGCAAGTAGACGGTGAAGGTCAGCTGGGCTGATGGAACACTGGGTTTCAGGGGCCTTGGGATATAAGGTGGCAAAAAAGTATGTTGGTACAACTGAGGCTCAGGGGCTGCTTTTAGCTTTTTATTTATTTTTTGCAGCGAGAAATCAGCTTCATCCTGACCTATCAACCAGATCAAGCATGTTTCGTCAACAGCAGGAGCAAGTAGACGGTGAAGGTCAGCTGGGCTGATAGAACACTGGGCTTCAGGGGTCTTGGGGTGTAAGGTGGCAAAAAAGGCTCGGGGGTTGCTTTTAGCTTTTTTTTAATTTTTTTGCAGCAAGAAATCAGCTTCAGCCTGGCCCATCAACCAGATCGAGCATGTTTCGTCAGCAGCAGGAGCAAGTAGACGGTGAAGGTCAGCTGGGCTGATGGAACGCAGGACTGCAGGGGTCTTAGAGTATAGGGTGGCAAAAAAGTATTTTGATGCACTGAAGCTCCTAGGCTAGTTTTATATTTTCTTTAATTTTTTGCAGTGCGAAATCAGCTTCATCCTGGCCCATCAGTTAAATCAAGCATATATCAGCAGCAGGAGCAAGTAGACGGTGAAGGTCAGCTGGGCTGATGGAATGATGGGCTGCAGGGATCTTAAAGTGTAGGATGGCAAAAAAAAGCAGTTTGGTGCACTGCGGCTGGGGCTGCTTTTAGCTTTTCTTTTTTGCAGTGCGAAGTCAGCTTCAGCCTGGCCCATCAACCAGATCGAACACGTTTCGTCAACAGCAGGAGCAAGAAGACAGTGAAGGTCAGCTGGGCTAGTGGAACTCAGGGCCGCAGGGCACTTAGAGTAGAGGGGCGGCAAGGGTAACTGGGACTGAGTTAAGGCAGCTGCAGCTTCCTGGGGTGTGGCAAGCAGCCCCAGAGCCACATAGTTTGGGAACTGCCTGCTGCCTGCCAGACAGAATGTAGGTTGACCTAAGAGGCAGAGATGGGTGAGGCAACAGGCAGATCGGGGATTTGGAGGCAGTCACTTCCTTTACTGAGGCTCGTGGCTGAGTGGGATCAAGCTCAGAATGGCTTATATTGGAGCCCATATTGTGAATCAATGCTTTTCTTTTTTATTTCTCCTCATAAGGGAATGGTTATTTTTAAATCTGAAATAATTAATTTACCACAGGGTGGCACTCCAATACTTCATAACATTCAGTGGCAAGAATTCCACATGTGTATATAGGTAGTCTTCAACTTAAGATCACAACAGGGACTGCATTTTTGTCACGAAGAAATATCTATTGAATATTTATTGAGTAGTGCCTTCCTTTTGTTTTAATCTTGAATTTATCTCATCTAGAAAGAGGTTGTATTTAACCTTAAATCTTTCCACTTCTCCATGAAACAAAACCATAGTATTTCTAACTGTGACCACTCATTATGTGGATGTCTCCTGTCTTTAGGCCAAATCAGTTCCCTCCTGCCCCAACAGCTGCCCCTTTAAAACTGTATACAGTATTTGTGTATGTGAAGAACAAATTCTGCATCAAAATGACGAAATTAAAAACATAGTGATAAAAAGAAGGGAGAAATACAACACAAATACATACAAACATATGCTATTTTGTTTTGCCTAATATCCAGTCTACAGGATAAATTAAAATGTCTTTATAATTATTGCCAAAAATCTTCAACATAGATGGTAAGAAAATGAGTTTTGCAATTTAAATATACATTTAAAAACTATTTGGATTAGATTAGCTTCCAAAATATTGGATCAGGGAGCAAAACCTATGTATATTCTGTCTCTGTCTATTTGTCTGTCTTTCTGTTTGTTTGTAAAATTTACAGGCCACCCAATCTTACCATCTTACCACAGAGTAACGCTTGTTATATCTCTTATTCCCCTATATTGAATTTAGATTATGGTCTTTCTTGGCAAAAACCTAGTAAGGTTAGCTATTAAACCTTAGAATTTAGCTGAATAAGCTATCATATACAGAGGTAATAGATAATTTTAAGACAGATACCATACCATATTGAATAAATATTGTAGGGCTATTTTTAAATTAAGATGGCAACAAATAGGACTGATAATTTCTGTAAATTTCTACATTGGGAAGTACAAATTATATAGCTTTTACAAATTTTATACCAATGTGTACTTGTCAATTTTGCTTGCAAAATTATATAGATACATAGTTATATAATAAAATTAGATATATACTATCTAAATATTAGCAATATTTATCTCTTCATTATTTTGTTAAGTTCTGAATGTTTGTTAATTTGTTTATAGTAGTTGATCCATCAGAAAAAAGAGCAGAATCTGGTGCTGGCACTGGTGGACCTACAGCAAAATTTTCTTCATTTCAGTATGATCAGCCTATGCCATCTACTTCCTCGCTGCCACAACCACCACCTCATTTTGCTCCAACAGCTGGATCTGCTCCTGCAGAAGATCTTGTAAGCGTTCATTTAACACAACCTTGATTAGTAGCAGATTTCAATTCCATTGGACCAATCTTAGAGCAGTTTAATAAATGAGGATAAATTATTAAATCAGGATTACAGAGATATTGGGCCTGAAAATCAAGGCAATATGTTGATATTAATATTTTGAATTAGGAAATAGGTGGTATGTATTTAATCTAAAGCAACTATTACAATTTTTATTCCTGCTGTTTTGCAGTTTTCTTCTCACCAAGGCCATGCAATAACATCTCAAACCAGATTAGACTCTGCTGCTGCCTTAACAACCTGTGGTGTTGCTACAGGATCAGGCACAATGTGCATTTCAAAACTGGTAAAAACCCACTAACATTATTTTAATTTTTTTAAACTACTTTTGCTCTCCACAAATTTAGTGGGAAATTTTTCTATAGAACTCATTGGAACTGGAACTTTAATATATATCTGTATCTGGAAGTTACAAGTTTAGTTAAAATGTTCTACTTCCTTTTCATCCCCTTTTTCAATCAAAGTTGAGGATAGATTAAAGTGTGTGAAAATACTAAGGGATGTGATCGTCGGCATATGACAGCAATAGGGACAAAAATTTCCATCACTAAGCCATATAGTCATCTCTTAGCTATGGCAATCTCTGTAGTCCTGGTTGCTGTTGTTAGCTGGATGCCATGGTATTCAAGTTGCCTTTCCACAACCAAAATCAGTGGGGAAGCCAGCAGAAAGTTGCAAAGCCTAGACAGGCAGGTACATGGATGCTGCCAGATGGAGATGGTAAAGAAGAAGTGTGGGAAGAATGTACCAGAGTGTGGCATGGGTTGGGAAGGGTGTATGGGATAGTGGCATAAATTGAGGCTACACAAAGATGTGGCATGGTTTGGGGAGAGTGCAGCACAGGTCAGGGAGTAGGTGCAGGATGTGTGTAAATGGCCAGTGCAGCATGAATGAAGAAAAGAGAAGGATGTACAGGTGGGGGAGACTTACCCCAGTGACTTGTGACCTTCCCTGCCAGCTTGCTCATTGATTTTCTGAAAAGTCGGCAGAGAAAGTTGAAAATAATGATTACGTGATTGCAATGCACTGCAACTGGGAAGTTGCCAAGCTTCAGATTGCAGTCATATGACCATGGGGGGTGCTGGGATTGCTGGAACTAACCACCATTTGTTCAGTGCCAGCTTAACTTCAAACAGTTGCTGAATGGTCATAGGTCAAGGACTACCTATATGTCCACTTTCCTAAGTCAGTCAGTTCTTTCAGTAGAAGTAAGACAAAAAAGGCCTGTTGTTGAATCACTGGTGTTGATTCAACAACAGTTTCCTTGTATTATCAGGTAATCAGTGATTATGAAATTATTTAATGCTCTCCTTTCTTTGAAATATTTGCAGTCTCTTGAAAATGAAATTCTAGACAAGAAATGAGATCAATGAACTGCCGCAAAGAATGATAATGAAAAGGACCCTGAAGACGTAAATGCCTCTGAAATATTTATATTTCAATATTTATCTTTGGTGAAGAGAGCCCCAGAAGCTTTCATAAGGCTATTGTCCCCAGGGTTTCCTTTCTAGCTCAGAAAAATGTCAAAAATTCTGCAGCTCTAGTAATTAGGATTTTTGTTTACATAGAAGTAAAGTTTGTGGAATGGAATCTTCTAGTTGTCTTTTCTGAAGAAATGCTCATGTCATGATACAAATCCATAATCTACAAATAGGACTGTATTTCCAATTATCAAGACTATAGAAAGAATGTATTCCATTGTTATGAGAATATGCTGTTAGGATTTGATGATCCAGGAACCAAAAACTTATATATTCAGTTTTTCCTGACTAAAGATAGGGAAACATAATATTAAGAAATCTAGCTTATAATTTAAAGCTGCTTTAAAAAGTGCTATGTGGTTCTTATATAATTAGGATTTTTGTTTGGCTTGCCACAGCCTATGACTAGAGTGGTAACATCAGCTCAACAAAAGGCTGGAAGGACAGTCACTGCAAAAATCACCGGTCGTTCAGATTTTGCGGCAAAGAATCGTATTTGCAGTAACTTAGATGTCTTGGGTGTTTCGCCCCCCATGAATTCTGTTGTGGTGGAGAAACATCATCCTGTCACTCAGGTAAATAATGACTTCTGTGAGTAACGTCTGCATTTTATGTTTCCTTTTGATTGGTGATTGGTTTGCTTTAGGGTTCTCATCAGAATTATTGTGGAAGTTCAGATTAAAAATGCTTACTGAATTAGTTTGTCCACACTTTTAGGTTCCTGTATTTTGTCTAGCATGCGATGGAATTCCATATGTGCCATTAGGCAGGTACTGGCCAATCAACCAAACATTGTGGTAGTAGATAAGGAGCAGAAGATGGTGGTAGTGATAGATAGGGCTTTTTTTTGTCATAGAACGCCCAGAACGGAGTTCTGGCACCTTTTTTGGATAGAACCTTGTAGGGTAGGCAAGGCGGGTTGTATGACCTGTGTGAGGGGTTTTTGTTTTTTTTTTTACAAAAAAAGCACTGGCGATAGATATAGCATTGCCAAGTGACAGCAGAAGAATGAAGAAGGAGAACATATCAAAAGCTGGGAAAGTACCAGGGTCTGAAGGAAGAATTAGAGAGGATGTAGAAAGAAAAGACCCAAGTGATCCCAGTAATGGTAGGAGACTCCTGGGACTCGTAAGCTAGGCAAATGGCTCCAACAGATCCCAGAATTGACATCAGAGCTTTCTGCCCAAAAGAGTGCAGTGCAAGAAACAGTTAAGATATTTCACAGAACCATCAAATTCCAGGCCTTTGGTAGAGGGTCCAAAATTGAGGAAGACACTAACATCCACAGGGTGAGAAGGGAATTAAGTATATATGAAAAACAAAAAAGTTAGAAACTAAAAAAATACTGTTCGCATAGCTGAAAACCTCACCTTAAATTATACCACACCCGCCTCCTACTACCAAGTAGAACAGGTTGGTCTTCAACATTTGTCTGAAGCCCAAAGAGGGTTTATGAATTTAAAAATAAATCAGTATCATCTGTATTTGGTTTGGTTTTGGTATAAATTTTGTATATCTCTATATTCAAAGTGTATGTGTGTGCGTGTGTGTGTGTAAATTTAAAGAATCCTAAAAATAAATAAAGGAACCCAAAATAGCTTGAAACACGCTTAATGATTGCTGGGGAGTCTTGAATTTTGAATGTCAGTTGGAAGCAAGAAACAGAAGACTGGATGGATATCTTAGTACTCCATAGTTGGAGATGGTTCTGTTAACTGGAATATGGAAACAGGAACTTATAGAAGGTGCCAAATTAGTTTTTCAAATGAGATTAAAAAAAAAATGCTGGTCTGGAATGTTTCCAGTTATTAAGGAGACTATGGAGGAACCAAGTGTCTGATTTAGTACGAGATAAATACCACTGGGGATAGTTGTTTGGCTTCCAGAGTAAACATACACTTCCATTTTCCTTGATTTTCAGTTTGATTTCCATGATCTGTATTAAGAAAGAATAGTGTCTCTCAAAGTCATGATGAGAACATAGGGAACTGGTGGCACCACTCTTATTTCCAAATGAAAGCAGGGGATATTTGCTTCATTGCATAACTAGGTGCTAGAGATAACTGCTTCTTCCTGTAGCTGCAGCTACAATAACTCACATCTAAAATGGCCCAGAAAGAGACAGAAAAGTGTACTGTTAAGGCAAGTGGACTGCTGGGTAATTTCCATACAGCGGATTTTTGATTTTTTTGTGGTGGTTGTTTTTTTTTGTTTCAAGAATTTCTTGAGAAAAGCTGTTAATATGGATTCTAAGACTATCTAGGCTATAGTTTATTGTATTAAATGGGAGTGCTGGAACCTGTTCAGTGATAATCTTTGACTAGACAGGTTTAACTGGTTTGTTAAAAAAAGCTTGGAGCAGCTTAGTAAAATCTGAGGGTATTGCCTGAGTTATTGAACAACTTCTGGCAAGTCCTGGCCATGTTTGTCCCGTGTTCAATTTTTTTAATATATTATTAAAATTGTTTTACCTTGTGAGATTGGGTAGACAATAAATAATAACTTTTTGCTTATATCTTTCAGCAAACTATATCTCAAGCTGTTGCTGCTAAATATCCTCGAATTCTGCACCAGTCTTCTAATGCTATCAGCGTGAGACATCTAGGACACAATGGGAAAACTCCTGCCCAGACTCACAGCAACATTCAGTCAATAAAAGTAGTGGAGTAGGTTAGTCGGTTGAAACGCCTGTACTTTATTTTAAGCACATGGAGAAAATTTTCCAGGTTATTGTTTAACATGTGATCCCTGGTGCTTGCAGATTAATGGAATAATAACCCAACATGCATCATGTTTTTCCTCTCAATAATATTGTACATGTAGATATTTTGAAGCGTAAAAAATGTGCCACCCAAGATGGCATAATGTAGTTCTGTGTAACTGCAAATAAGGTATACTTGAAATTTTTACTTTCTTAAACTTATTATATATGCTTATTTAATGTTTTTAATAAAATGAAGTATTGAACTTGTATATTCTAAAAGGTATTCCTGCTTTATATGTGAACAAGAGCATAGATCATTTTGCCACATTCTGAATTGCTATCTAAGTTGTCCATATATAATCAGATTTGACATTCAGAATTTTTTTGATTCTGCTATATTTTATCTTCAGCCATTCGTAGAACAGGAACATTACAGAGAAATTTCATTTTGTGCAACATAAAACTAGTTTATTAGTCTTACTCCATTATGGAGAGGTATATAAGTCTAAGTGCTATTGCTATTTACTATGGTGGGAATTCAGATGTTTCCATAAGTAATATTGACATCCTCAATCCCAGCTGTATTCCCACCAAATGTTCTATAGCACCGGCCCCTAACCTTTTGGGCACCAGGGATTGATTAGATGGAGGGCAGTTTTTCTGCAGACCGGAGGGTGGGGGGGGAAGCATGATTTCTTGCACTGGCTGAATCTCACACATGCACAGATGGGGTTTTGTGTGCTTGTGCAGACCAGTTCCTGGTGGGCCATAGACTAGTGCTGGCTCATGGACTGGGGGTTGGGGACCCCTTTCCTATAGGGTCCTCCAGTGTAGATTTTAAGAATATACAAAAATACTCTTCCCCCCCCCCCCAGGGTGGGGGAAAAAGAAAAGGAATGTGACATTAGATAATACCCTAAATGTAGATGAATAAATAAGCACCAGCATTTTATACAAAATAGCAGTGGTGTGAATCTTCTCCATGCTGATAGCGATTTTTCCTGGTTCTCCATTGCAATTTGCAGTTGGAGCAATAAAGACTTGCACATCTATGTTCATGGATTTTCTTTTACTTCATATACTTTTTCATTCTTGTTATCTCTTATGCTACTGTAAGGAGACCTTGGATGGGAGTAAGCATAATGGAATGTGGGAAATGATGTCAGTGTTTAGAAGAAGACAAAGAAGCACCGATGAAAAAAGCAGTGGTTGTGGTGTGCTAATGGTGTTTTATACTAAATAGGATCTCTCAATGTGAGAGCTGTTTCTTCCCATGCTGCCCATCCTTGTGATCAAATAGGCGTACCAATAGGGAAATACAATCTTCTATATCAATTTGATTTTCCATAAGGTAATGTTAGACATAGTCTTAAGTATACATTCCTTGTAAACCTACTACTAAATGACTAACTGCAGCAGGTAATCTGGGTTTGTAAAATGAATGCAGGAGCTTAAGTAATACAGCAGATATTGAAAGTGATCAAACATGTACTATGGATTGGGCCATGTAGTTATTTAGATTGAAAAGGAATATGTGATTAAGGAATATTTAGTCATGTTAGCAACTCAGATGCGTTTTTTTGTATCTCAACAAAAAATATGGCTGAAGTTATTACGTGAACAATCCTGTGCACTCAAATCACTTTTTCTGCTTCAAATCTGGATGGCTTCAGCTGTATCATAGGTGTGTATGTTGAGGCTCAAACCATATTTAGTTAGAAACATTTTGGTTACATTCAATAATTGTTGATAAAGGGGTAAATGTGCTTTAAATTTACACCAGGAATACTAAATACTATGTTTGTTTGCCTCAGATTCCTAATACATGGTATAGTATATTATAAGACTATAAGATCTCCCTCAGGCTGAGCTTTGCTCCTGATTACCATATGGACACATTCATGACAATAGCATGAAGTGCTTTATCTTTTTCATTCATACATCTACACATACACACATCACTCACACATATGATATTCTCGTTTGGGGTAAGCAAAGGCTCAAAAATAATAAGCAAAAGAAGTTTGAGGCAGAAAATAGTGAAAAACAAATCTGGTTTCACAAATCTATTTTTCCGTATTTTCTATCCTTGCACACCAGTTTCTCTTCTTATCTTCACACCCATCCACCAATTCATATTGCCTTTGTTCTTTAAACTTCAGGATGTCATCAGGCAGCCAGTCAGAATTCTGCTTTTTGTTTTCTAATTTTCTGCTCATGCATTCTTTCTGTATAACTTTATTACCAGAGAAATATGCCTAGGATTGCAATTTAAATGTCTTATCATTATTACCTTAGATTCAAGGATGCACTATATTACTTGGTATGGCTGTCTACATATTTTCCTGTACAAATTTCTACTCAAAGGGTCTCAAACACAAAGTCAAAGGCATTTGATTATGAGATGAAGAGAGTTTGTGTCACCCTTTAAATCCTACTTCATTTATTTTGAATGGAATGGAATGGAACAGAACAGAATAGAATAGTTGAAGGGACCTTGGAGGTCTTCTAGTCCAACCTCCTGCTCAGGCAGGAAAAACAATACCATTTCAGACAAATGGTTGTCCAATCTCTTCTTAAAAGCTTCCAGTGTTGGAGCATTCATAACTTCTGGAGGAAAGTTGTTCTGATTAAATGTTCTGTCAGAAAATTTCTCCTTAATTCTAGGTTGCTTCTCTCCTTTATTAATTAATACTACTACTACTACTACTACTAATAATAATAATAATAATAATGTTGGAAGGGACTTGGAGGTCATCTAGTCCAATCCCCTGCTCAGGCAGGAAACTATACCAGTGGCTCCCAACCTTTTCTATATCCTGCACTCCTAGAATGCTTCTGATATATTCTTCACCCCTTACAAAAGTTCAAAATAATGGCAACGAATTATGCATATACACTATAATTTTGAAAATCCAAGTTTTCGTACCCCCTGGAATATTGCCTTGCACCCCCAGGGGGTACGAGCAACCCCGGTTGGGAACTCCTACCCTATACCATTTCAGACAAATGGCTGTCCAGTCTCTTCTTAAAAACTTCCAGTGTTGGAGCATTCACAGCTTTTGGAGGCAGATTGTTTCACTGATTGTTTTAATTCAGGACATTTCTCCTTAGTTCTAGGTTGCTTCTCTCTTTGGTTAGTTTCTATACATTGCTTCTTGTCCTGCCCTCAGGTGCTTTGGAGAATAGGTTGACTCCCTCTTCTTTATGGCAATCCCTGAGATACTGAAACACTGCTATCATGTCACCCCTTGTCCTTCTCTTCATTAAACTAGGCATACCCAATTCCAGCAACCGTTCCTTACGTGTGTTAGCCTCCAGTCCCCTAATCATCTTTGTTGCTCTTCTCTGTACTTTTTCTAGAGTCTCAACTTTTTTTTTTACATTTTTTTTACATTGCGTCACCAAAACTAACCTTACCAAGGCACTGTAAAGTGGTATTAACACTTCACGTGATCTTGAGTCTATCCCTCTGTTAATGCAGCTTAGCACTTTGTTGGCTTTTTGGGCAGCTGCAGCACACTGCTGGCTCATATTTAAGTGATTGTCCACTAGGACTCCAAGATGCCTCTCACTGTTCCTACTATTGAGTGAGGTTTACTGTACCTGTGCATTTGTGTTTTTCTTTCCTAAATGTAAAATCTTACTTTTTTAACTATTAAATTTCATTTTAGATAGTGTTTTTACACAAGTGTTTTTAGAAAATATCTTATTTAAAATATCAAAGAAGTATATTTGTGGAACCAGTGTGACTATCTTCTCAAGAAATGTTTTCTTTCATTCTACAAAAAATTAACTGAAAGAATATTATGTACCGATTGCATGGCAGAGTTGATAACATACCTTCAGGTGCAAGTGGATTCCTACAGTCATACACAGGAGAAAAAATAATAATCTATCATTGAAAATTCTTTTCAAGCAGATCTTCGGTTACTTCATTTCTCCACTGCTTTTGGAACCCAAGAACTCATATAACTCCATATTCTTTTTCCAGCTCCAAATATAGTCACTCCTGTTTAGTGAGGTATAGCCACTCAAGATTTTAAAAAATGAATCGGTAAAGTTGAAGAATTCTGAATGGTGAAGTGGGATTGGAAAGAGCCAATGGAGGTTGAGAAGTCCTAGTCAGCATGGGGATGGGAAGTTGATGGGGTGGGAGATATTACAGAAGTGATGAGAAGATAAGCCTTCTTTATAGAGAAACAATGGATAATTTGTTTATAAATAATATTTTAATACTCATTTATGATCCTATTTGATTGCTTCAAATTCCTTTGAATTTCATGAAACTGAACATTTCTTGGATTCTGTGCCAGCATTATTTTCTGCTCTGAACTTTTCTGCAAGAGGAAACATTCTTGTTAGAATTCAGAAAACACAACATGCCTTTAATCTTTTTGAGGTGTAAATAGGTTCAGGCATAATATACAAAGTTTGGTAGCCACTCAAAACCATGTGCTGCTATATGTATACTTACTTAAAATTAAATTTAAATTACTACAGATTTATGAAGCGGAAAGAAGCCCCTCTCAAAATAAAACTGGCTTCTTTGCTTTTATTGTACTTACTGTAGTAAGAAATTGGATATATTGACCACTTACTGCCACTTTCTTTCTTATACGCTTACAAAGCCCAAGGCTTTTTGCAATTCTGTGCTTACCTAGAAATAATTCTATCAAACACATTTGCTTAGAAATATATTCAGGCATCCCTAATTATATAGGTAGTCCTTGACTTACAACAATTCATTTAGTGACCGTTTGAAGTTGCAACGGCATTGGAAAAAAGTGACTTAAGACCATTTTTCACACTTATGACCATTGCAGCATCCCCATGGTTACGTTATTTACATTTGGATGCTTGATAGCTGGTTCATATTTATGACGGTCACAGTGTCCCAGAGTCATGTAATCATCTTTTGCAACCTTCTGGCAAGTAAAGTTAATGGGGAAGGCACATTCACTTAACCATGCTACTAATTTAACAACTGCAGTGATTCACTTAACAAATGTGGCAAGAAAAGTTGTAAGGTGGGGCAAAACTTACTTAACAAATTTCTCACTTAGCAACTTAACCTCTAGGCTCAATTGTGGTCATAAGTTGAGGACTGCCTGAATTTACAGTCTCTTGTTTTATTTGTTAGAAAGTTTGATTATACTTCTGCCTGTCCAGCAGTATGTTAACTCCTATTTTTATTTCTTTCTTTTTGCTTACAAGGACATGTTCTCCCTCTCTGCATTGCCTTTCCATTTTTGTATCTGATTTATATCCCCCTTTCA